ATAAAAAAAAAAAAAAAAAAAAAAAAAGGAAAAAAAGAGTTCTGCAGGGGTAGCCACTTAGTCTTGAACTGGAGGCCTGCGGACTGGAGGAAATACAGCTGCCCAAGCCTGTCGGAAAAGCTGGACCAGTCTGTAAAGAAACGGCAGTGATGTGGGAGAAGCTGCAGAACAAAACAAACATTTTAAGAGAGAAAGCTAAGGTACACAACACATATAAAGAAAGAACTGATCCCAGCTAGAGCTAAGGGAAGCCTAGATGTTTTATTTCCTCCAGTTAAGAACTGTGCCCTTCATCCCCGCTGCTGCTCCCATCCCTAGCAAGCTTTCTGCAGTATTTTCACAAAGATTATTTGTGCCATTACCAGTGAGGGGCCAGCATAAGCAGAACAAACTCATGAATTATGTTGGTGCCCTGGGCAACTCTCTGCTTTCCTGACAATACAGCCTGAGAAGGCAATGACTCTTGCAGAAGATATTCACCTTGTAGCAGCTCAAGCTGACTGAGGTAGAAACTGGTTCTAGGACAGCTCAGCTGGTCTCTAACATTCTGTTTGCTTGTTTGCTGGAAAAAGCTGAAGATGGGATAACTTTACGGACAACTGTTTTTGCTGAGCTATAGCTTTCTGCATGGAGCCCTGATGGAAAAACTAGAAACAAGCTTAAAAAGCAAATTACTAGACACCTAGTTCTTTTATGTATCCCAAACACATTCACAAAGACCATATCTATCAAAAACAACTGTTAATTCCTTCTCACTACCCATAATGGATTTAAAAAAGAAATAAGAAACCTGAATTCTGTACCTGGGTCTAATCTCACCACCAGATAGAGCATGAACACAGCCAAGAGCATCTTTTTGTAAGGAATTAAATAGAAGTGGCTTGATATGGACGTCAGTGCTCTGCGGAGCAATGTCAACATGGCCAAGAGTTTTTGGGGCAGAGCACCTAGAACACAAGAACAAAAAGGCTGTTAGAGCAAACAGAGTGGGGAAAAAAATGACTCAGAATAATCAGCAGAGCTGCCATCCACCTCACCTAACTGCAGACACCTCTTAGCTTGATTGCATTAGTCTCTTTTATAAGGAAGAAAGAGAAATAATACAATTTTAGGGTTCAACTCATTACATCTTTTTAGGTATCTACTTTAAGATGATACAAATTTATACCATAGCAGTGCAAATATCTCTGCTAGGAGATAACTTCAACTGATGTAGTTCTTGAGGACAAGTAGTACTTTCAATGCTATACATGGCTTGCTCTACACGGGCTTAACTGTTCATGGAAAAGAAGCGAAAAGCACACAGATCCAGCTACACATACTCTTAAAGGATGCACCTGTTAGTTTTAGTTGCCTGTTTCTACTTTTACGCATTTATTCTCAAATGTTTTAGAAGCTTGAAAACAATTCTCATCATCTGACACTGCTAGAGACTAAATGCCCTTTGTAGTTCTTAGCACATGGATCCACAAGTCTAGCATTGTCTTCAGTGACATATTCAATCCTTCTGCAACTACCTCATGGCTGGTATATCCTGGCATTATTAGTAGTAGCCAGTTCCTACTTGCTTGCCAATTAGGTAGTACTCCAGCTGTGTTAGAGACAGATGCAATGGGACTTAGAGTACCCAGGTATTTGATTTGATAAAGCTAACTTAGGTAAGGAAGTGTTCCATAACGTGTTCAAATTGTGGTCTCACTGCACAGACTTAAAGAAAAGGGATGATACAGAAGAGATATGTCTGGTAAGAGGATACACTATTTCCTTCCAACGGAAGGAATTCCACTGTTCTGAATCTGGTGTTGCACAGCAACAAGACACAGACTCACAGAATCATTATGGTTGGAAAAGACCTTCAAGATCATCAAGCCCAACCATGAACCCGTCATCACTATGCCCCCTAAACCATATCTATAAGTGCCTCATCCACACATTTCCTGAACACCGTCAGAGAAAGCGACTCCAACATTTCTCGGGCAGCCTGTTCCAGTGCTTCACCTCTCTGTCTGTGTAGAAATTCTCTCTCATGTCTAACCTGAACCTCCTCTGGCGCAACTTGCAGCCATCTACCCTTGTCCTTTCAGTAGCAATTTTGGAAAAGAAACCAACTCCTGCCTCACTACAATCTCCTTTCAGGTAATTCTAAAGAGCAATAAGGTCTCCCCGAGTGTCCTCTTCTCCAGACTAAATAACCCCAGCTCCCTCAGCTGCTCCTCATGAGGTCTGTGCTCCAGCCCCTTCACCATCTCCACTGCCCTTCCTTGGGCACACTCCAGCACTGAGGGGCTCAAAACTGAACACGGTATACAAGGTACAGCCTAACATGAAAACTGTTTTCATGCTGTGCCCACACAGGGTGGACTACTTCCAATGCAACAGTCATCAACAACTAGGCTAAAATACAGCTGTTACTTTTGGAGTTTATTTCCCTTCTTGATGTACCAGTGACAGTTTGCTGTCTGCACGCACTGGAGAGTTCCGAGTGCTTGAAGCTTTTTCACTGAAGGTCTTGGGCACAGGTTGGGGATGGTGCATCACAGATCATAAGGAAGGGAACAGGCAGTTCATACATAACATAACACAGATTGTAATATAAATCTCAACTGAACCATTTTGATAATATTTAAGATATACAGTCAAAGATATGTCAAAAACATGGAAGGGGAGGAGAAAAAGAAAAGAAAATCACAAACAATGGAAGAAAAGTCTACCCAGAACTGCTTCTCTTGTGGTGCCCTGCTGCTCTTCAGCCACAGAGTGCATCTCTTCCTGTTGAGACCACTGACATTGGCTTTCACAGATGGTCCTGAGAAGTGCTAGCTGTTGTGCACTGTCCAAAGCTTCGCAGCCCCGTACAAGCTCTTCTGCCTCCTCAAACTGGCCCAAGGGAAGCAAAACACGCAGCAGGTAGAGCTCCAGCAATGAACTGTACTCAGGGAGGCTCTTATTGGTTATGTCTCTCAGCCAGCTACTGCCAACCTCCAGCATGACCTGCGGCTCTCTCACTTTGCTATATAACAGGATACTGCAACACAAGAGAAGTAAGTATCAAAAACACTTCATCTTATAAAACTGACATGACTGACAGTTATTACTCACAAACATATAGGTGTGTGTCTACACCCTAGGCAAAGGAAAAGAGATTTCCAAGACAGGCAGTGGTTGCAGCCACTGATGTTACCCTCTGAGTCCCTCCATTTGCTCCTTATCACTCTGCGGCAATCTGCTGGCCTGCAGGCATGCATGGGCATGCACAGGTCCACATGCTTCAGAGGGCAGCCTCTTAGCAGGCTCACAGTGGCTACCAGGTGAACATGCATTTGGAGAACAAAACGCTCTACAACCAAAACCAATTCATCTTCTTGTCCATTTTTTTTTTCCTTTTCCAAGAACATACTTGTCCCCAGTTCCACTTGCATCCTGGTTTACTGCATGCAAAGCGACGCTCCCATCTGTTCTAGTACGGCCTGTTATTAAACCCAACCACAGCAAGCTCCGGGCAGAGCAGCCGCAGCGCAAAACTCACCAGAGCTCCAGCACCTTGGCAGGCAGCTGCTCCGGGGCCTCATAGTACTGCAGGAGCCAGGGCAGAACCTCCCGCCAGCGGTTCATCTCCGCCAGCGCCTGGATCCCCACAACGCAGAGGGAGCATTTCACTTCAGCGGAGCTGGAAATGAAGATGGGCATTTTCTAAATGCTTGCTCCCCGCTGCCAGGTTTCCCCTCGCACCTTTCCTTGGGAGGTGCGCTCCTACCCCAGGAAACACGTCCTTAAGCCCTCCCTCCGAAAAAAAAAAACAGCCATCAAAACAAACAAGTGTGGGAAAACAAACACAGACACAAGGCAGGCAGCTCCTAAAGCCGCCTGGAACCCCAGGAGTTCCTAACCAGCCCCGGCCCCAGGTCGCCCTGTACCTCCCGGCCTCGGCCCCTGCCTCGGCCTCGGCCCCGGCGGGGCCCAGGCTGCCGCAGCCCGCCTCGCACCGCTCCAGGGCGGCGGCGAAGTCGCGATGCAGCACCAGCAGGTCCGTCGCCTCCTCCAGCAGCGAGGCCGCCCGCGCCGGGGCCGACATCGCCGCCACCAGCGGCCCCGCGAGGGGCTCCGCCGCCCCGCTCGGCTCCGCCGCCGCCAGCTCGCTCCTCATGGCAGCGGCGGCAAGGCTGCCGCTACCCCCTCAGCCCTACAGCGCGGGCCACCCCTCGCTACAGCAACGCTGCCGAGAAGCCGCGGCCGCCGCAGCCCCACAGCTGCGAAAGCGCCGCCCCAACCGCCATCTTCCCGCCCCCCACGGCCGCCATCTTCCCCGCCCCCACGGCCGCCATCTTCCCCGCCCCCACGGCCGCCATTTCCCGCCCCGCGGCGCCGCGGGAGCTGTAGTCCTCGGTGCGAGAGGCGGCATTGCTCCTAAGTGCGGGCTTCTCCGCGAGCCGCCCTCTTTCCCACCCCCGGCAGCCGTGTCCTGCCCGGAGCCGCCGCTTAGCGGCATTGGAGGGGCCTAACGCAAACGGCCGCGGCAGAGGCGGCAGGCAGGGAAAGCGCTTATCTTTGTGCGGGCTATGGGGTTGCCGATGAGGCCTCCCCATCTCGGGAGAGCCTGGCAAGAAGCCGCGAAGTTTTAATGATAATAATACGATTTGAGGAAAATAAACATTTACTGTTTTTTTCTCGTTTTCCTTTCCTCTAGGCTGCAGCCCTGGCACTGTTCTGCAGATAAAGATCTCTGTAGCTGTAATGAGGGGCTAAATAAAATAATATTTTTTTTAAAAAAGCTCTATATTCAATTTTTCAGCTTGATTTCTGCCCTTCCTGAAGCTTCCTGACATTTTGTGAAGCCCTTGCAGTAAAAGCCAAGTGGAATTCCTGGGAATGGTTATAAAGCAGCTTGGGGAGGGTTTGTGCAATGGGGCCTGCTTGTAGCAAGGTGGCACTTGCAGTGCTTTGATTTTTTTTTAATTTTATTTTCTTATTTTTTTTTCCCCATAGTAGCAGGAAATCTTTAATGTTTGTTCCAGAGCATCCTGAAAAAACACACACTGGCAGAGGGAGGGTCTTCGGAGAACGGAGCCAAGGGTCCCACTGTTTCTCCCATCCCTGGCCACAAGGTGCCACGGCAAACCCCAAGCATCTTGGCTTGCTAAACAGGCGGCTTTAAGATATGAAAGAGATGCATTGACATAAGGCAATAAAGTTGTGGTGCCGTGCTTTCCCTTTCTACAAAGAGCCAGCTGGAGAAAATTTTCTTATTTTTCTTATTTTTAGTGAGTATTAAAGGAGAGCACTCCCAGTACACCTCATTGCATGGCTGCTTGTGATGCAGATCTCTTCCAGCAGCTTGCTGTTCCAGGCAAACGCTGGCCTTGGTCTCCTGATGGAGACCAGAAATCCTTGTTTCTGTCACCACCTTCCTGAAAGTCATGCGTGCGGGATTTTGAGCAAGTTAAACTCTTAAATGAACTGGAGTTTGGACTTAAGAACAAGATCCCCCACTGCACCCTCAGTGCAGGCATGCAGTAAAGCAAAACGTTTCACATTCTTATTTAACTGATATTTCAAAACAATAGGGTGTCTTGGTTACAAAATAATGATTTCACCCTGTGAAAATTTTCTTCAGAAATGAATCTCTACTTGAGAGTATTTAATATACTGCTTTGTAACAGACAGCTGCTCTAATTATTTAATGGAAAATCAAATGTACTAAAGCGAAGCATATGTTAAAATGCCAAGTACAGGTTTTAGAAAGAAAACTTATATGCCATTTTAGTGTAGGGAGCATGGAAGAAAGTATGGGGAATACGATTAAATCTCATAACTCCCTTACAAACTGTTGTTCATAGATGGCAGAATCAAACCCTGCTCTTCCTTGTAACAGCTTTAATAACGGCTTTTATAAGCCAGCACGTTAGAGTTTGTATGTTGCGCTATCGACTGCAGAAGAGATTCCAGAAAGATTCAGCTTGGGCAATCCAAAACCACAGAAGAACAACATTGTAAAAGGAAGGGCTGTGCAGCTGAGCAAACTAGGGGAAAAACACATTGCAGACTTCTGTTACTGTTGCTTGGTACTTGCAGTCTGGAAAACAACATTCCTTTTGGGGAACTACAAGTCCCAAAGTGCACTGTTGGAAGAGCTTGCCTTGTACCAGCTCGTGCCCAGCACAAATTCCCAAATATGGATAAGGATTCAATTTTGAAAAACACTTAACAGTCACTGAATGCTCTCCACTGAGAATCGGGGGTGAGACAGCTTGAAATGAGGTAACAGTCACTGAATACTCGCCACTGAGAATCGGAACGGGAGTGAGACAGCATGAAATGAGGTAAGCTGGTAATCTGTGAAGATGCTCAACAATGTTTTTTGGGGAGAGCAGTCAAGAATATTCTGTCCCCTGGAAGGACGGTGTAGCAGTGATGCTGGAGTTGTTTGCTGTGATGATGCTGGTGATTTCTGAAATAAGGGGATTGTTGTTTCAGGTGGGGAAGTAAGCGGAGGAGCAGCTGTGCTGCAAAGTGAGTCAGATCCTGTTTTTTGCTGGTGTTCTTTGTTTAATAAAGAACCACAGAAGGGCTTGTGAGCTGCAGCAGTAATGCAGTTATGTTAGAGGTAAAGAAAAACTGGGGAGAGTGGGAACTGTTCTGAACAGAAGATCTGCATGAGCTGCAGTCTGGCTGTTTTAGAAGCTGAGATGGAGCAAGTAGTCTTGTAATAACAACTGTGGGTAAAATTAATTTCTCCGTTGAGCGTGGTAGAGTGTTTTTGTACTTCACTGCGTTTCCTAGAGGGGACAGTGTGGTGCCTCGAACGCCAAGCCTCTTACTGTTGCCTAACCTGCAAATAATAGTAACACAGTTAAAGAGTTGTTTAAGGTCAGATTAGGGACAATTATGTATTTCACTGGCAATATTTTATTAACAAGCAGAATGAAAATCTTCTGAGGTGAAGCAGAAATGTCTTAGAGGAGGCCAGAGACAACCTAATGCCGAGTTCTGGTCTGTAAAGTCTTAGCACTTTGAGGGGATCTCCGGCCGCCTTCGCTCGCCCCTGCAGTCAAACATCTCTCACGTGTCTGAGACGTGGCCTCGCAGTGACACCAAGCACAGCTGGTCAACCTGATTTGTCATCCTGACAAACTGTTCCTCCTGTGTAGGGTTGTGGAGCAGGAGGGCAGGCATGGCGCAGCTCTGCAAGGCTGCAAAGATACAGTCCAGCTCTGGAGAGAATTCTGAAGCGGTTCAGGCCGATGAACTAAACTGTCACGTGGATGCTCGTTGCAGGATGAGAATGATGCTATTTTTCCATCTTTCCTCAAATGTAAACAGTATCGTCTGTTTTTAAACCTGAAGAGTTGCGCTTGTCCTGCCTAGACCCAACACAGGAGGGCTACACTGCTATAAATAAGTTGAAGGAAATCAACATGCCTGGCCGTGCTTCTGCTTCCTGGATAGCAGTTTCTAGTAATGAGAAAAGGTAAATCCAAGAACTCCCAGGAAGAGGCAGTAATAAGGAACATTGTAATACCTTTGTGTTGTGGGTGGGATGTTGATGTCTCCTGGCTCCTTGCCTCTTATCTGAAATCTAGAGTATTTTTTTCATTGTTGTCATCCTGATTTTCTGTAGGAAAACCAATGAAGTGAGTTGCAGAGGGACCTTTCTTTATGTCCTCACCAGCTGTGAAGAGACATTCTCCTCCTCCTGCTCCTATGAAGCAGTTCAAGGAGAGTTAAGAGAGACAGGCACCTGTAACAGGGCCTCCTGAGGTAAATCGCCTCAAGTATTAATCCAGATCTGACCAGCATGCGGTTACAGGGCCAGAGAGCCCTTTCTGCAGTCTCTTCTGTGTCAGTAGGCTGTTAATATGAGATTAGCAGCATTAGGGAGACTTTGAGCTAGAAACAGTAAGGCTCTGTAGTCTGACTTGGAGAGAAAGAAACCCAGTTACACCCCACCAAAATTACTCCAGAAAATCTGAATATATAAAAGGCATTATAAGCACAATTGAACAAAGTACGGTCTGCAGGAAAGCTGTGGGGTTTTCTAATACATCATATCTTATAAGCAACTTCATTTTTTAATAAAGCAATTAGGTCCACAGAGACTGCAGGTCTCAGCGTGCAGCATGCCCTCTTCATTGCCATGTGCTTTTGTTTGGGTCTAGCTAGACTCTTACATGCTGCAGCCTGTAATTTGCTTGTATTCCCCATGAGCAATAGATCCCTATTAAATATGAAGGTAGCTGGCTCCAGTTCCCTTCAATTAACCCAAATTCAGTGTTCCCTCTGGCTTCTGGCAGGCTCTCGTTACAGCCCTTATTTGTGTGAAGGCAAACGCATTCTGGTTAGGGATCTAACAGATGGCCATGTCTGAAGTCTTTCCTATTTTACTTAGAACCAGAAAAATACGTTATTGTCTTTAAAATAGTAGGAAGAGGTGCCTCACTGCATTTTGACATCATCTGCTAATGTCCCTGTTAGTGTTTTTTTATAGCAGCCACCTCTTAACTCTGACTGCACAAAAACTCTCATGAACAACAGACAAGGATAGTACAGAGAAGACAGTAAAGATAATTAAAGGGTAGTCATAGTCACAGCCCAACTAGGTGGGGATGTATCATGTGATGTTAAAGTCTGAGCAAATCCCTGTTTTAGCCTTTATTTTAAAGACACATCGTGTAATGTGCAAACACTAGAAACCAGAAAATTGTAAACACAGGTAATTCCATGGCTTTGTAGAGCTGGAATTTTGCTAATGTAATAGCAACTATTTTTAGAAAAGAAAGGTGATATCCTTTGCTCTGTATCAAACAAAATACCAAAACACCAAACACAGAAAGCCATCTTTCAAAGAAAATCGTTGTTACTTTTTATTTAATTGTTACCCATTATAATAGTAATAATTAGTGCTGGGTGGGGCGTTTCATAGCTTTGAGGTGACCAATTTGGTTAAAGGCCTCAGGCAGCAGCTTTTCTGCAACCGGTTATTATATGTGAAGAAAATACTAAAGGCTGTCATCACCCCAAGTCAATTAAATCCTCTTTGCCTTCCACCGCATCTCTTTGCTCTACTCATTCACAGTTACTTCCCCTTCTAATTGTTAATATATTTTCTTAAAGCCCCGCCTGCTGAAATCTATTTTCACCTAATACTCG